CGCCGCCGCCGCCGCCGCCGCCGCCGCCACCACCATGCTCTTGCTATGGCTCTAATAGCTCTGACCCCCAGGCAACTTTATTTATTAACATACAATGAAAATCACATTTCAGTACAAATAAAATACCATCATAGTTGTTTGAGATAGTGTTGGCATTGCATGCCATGATGGCAGTCCATTACAAAGTGTGTATATTGTATGTGTTCCGGATCAAGGCTTCATTGAAGTTATACAGTACAAACATGGGCACATGCTGACAGAAATCCCTCAGATTTATTGTATGCTTGATTTTGAATTAATTTTTGGTCATTGAGTATTCAGAAACTTTTCAACTGTTGCCAAATATTTTACAACCCTACATTCAGTTGTGTGACTACCAGATGGAGTTATAAGCCATAGTTTAAGAAGCTGGGTCCTATCTTGTCCCATGCAGCTATTTCCGATATATTTAAATCCTTTCAACAGATACCAGGTATAGGAAGCTCTTCAAAATACATACCTACCATTTTTGAGAACAAGATTCTTTTGTTTTTTCTCTTTACACCTGCAACCACACCAAGAAATGGTTCTGGTGTTCCCATTGACGAACTAGTTGAGGGGTCAGGGATACTAGACAGGTAAACAAAGTACATTATTCTTAAAAACTAAATTTAGAAGGGTTTTTTTCTTTGTTAGGTACCTTTTCTTGTGTTTATGAGATTCAAGATTTCTGTAAAAGCTGGCTTTTTTGTTTGTTTGTTTTTGTTTTTGTGACAGGGTTGATCAGTTTTGCTAACTAACTAAAGAATTACTTTATAGGGGAGTTGATATTTTTGATGTTCCTCATTCTGCCACTTTCTATGTTGTTGCTCTTCTATTTTTGTTTTTTAGTTTATAAGTCAGGTTAAACTACTTTCTGTCAGAATTTTAAAAATGTTCTATTATCTTCAGGCTTATATAGCTTCCATCAAGAAATCTGCTATAATTCCTATCTCTCCTATTTGGTATGTCATGTTGTCTTGTACATTTAGCTTCCTCTTAAGATTTTTCTTTAGTTAGTTTTTTTTTTAAAAAAGATTTATTTATTTATTATGTATACAGTGTTCTGTTGGCTTGTATCCCTGCAGGCCAGAAGAGGGAGCCAGATCTCATTACAAATGGTTTTGAGCTACCATATGGGTGCTGGGAATTGAACTCAGGACCTCTGGAAGAACAGCCAGTGTTCTTAACCTCTGAGTCATCTCTCCAGCCCCTTTACTTAGCCTTTCAAGCAAATTTTATACTTTGGAATATTTTGCTTGGAAGTTTTCTGCTTTTAACATTTTTCTAAAACTACCAGTCCACTGGTGGCACACACCTTTAATCCCAGCACTCAGGAGGCAGAGGCAGGAGGATCTCTCCAAGTTCGATGCCAGCCAGCACTACACAGAGAAACACTGTCCCCAAAAAACAAGACAACACAAAACAAAAAAACAAACAACAACAAAAAAAAGAAACAAAGAAAGCAAGCATTGTTTTTAAAAGTTCTCTACTGTGTTATCTGTTAACATTTCCTTAACCTTGTCTGGGGACTTCAGTTATAGGCTTATTATTCTGTTTGCTTTTGTATTATGGTCTCTTGTGACTACTCTATCTTGCCCTCCCTCCCTCCCTCCCTCTCTCCCTCCCTTCTTTCCTTCCTTCTTTCCTTCTTTTCTTTCTTTCTTTTTTTTTTTTTAGGATTTCTGTCCTGGATCTTGCTCTGTAGCCCAGGCTGGCCTTGAACTCACAGAGATCCACCTGCCTATGCCTTCCGAGTGCTGGGATTAAAGGTGTGCACCACCACCGCCTGACTCTCTGTCTTGTTCTTAGTCTTGTGTGTTTGTTCTTTTTTTAGTCAGACTTTTTTTTTTCAGAACAATGTTAGGTTTACAGTGAATTTGTGGGAAAGTACAGGAAACTACTGTTAGGTACCTTATGCCTATGCATGCTTCCCTTTCCCTACATGTGTCACCTCAGAGTGGCACACTTCTAAAAACTGTCGATTCGGTTGTATGATGTTTGCCATTAACATCCACAGCCTGTTCTTTCTTCATTATGTTGATATTAAATGTCACATGGATTTCGACAAATGTACATGGTACTTATCCACTATTTAGAAATGTTTCATTACACTAAAATCACTGTGTGCTCTGCCTGTTCATTCCATCGGCACCCCCGAGTTTCTGACAGTCATCAGTCACCATAGTTTTACCTTCTCAACAATGTTACACAACCAGAGTTCTGTAATAATGCAGCCTTTTTGGGTGGCTTCTTTTTGTTCATTTCATTTCATAACTTGGTGGATCAATTACTTCCCACATCAAATAATATTAGGGTACTGAGCTTGTTACCTTCTAAAAAACTTCTCAGTTGCTTCCATGTTTGAGTACTTAGGAATAAAGGTATGTAGCACGAATTGTTAGAAGGTCATATTAATAAAATCAAACCTAAAGCCAGATATTGGGGTGAATACTGGAAGATCAGAGAAACAGAACAAGCCTCACCTCAACAGTTTCTCAGCTGATCCTGTTTCCTCAGACTGGATGCCTCTCAGCTACACTGTGCTGCTCCAAAGCCTAAAAGCTTAACCAGCCTAGTTCCTGGTTTTCACACCTTATATACCTTTCTGCATTCTGCCCTCACTTCCTGGGATTAAAGGCTCACTTCTTGGGATTAAAGGCGTGAGTCACCATGCCTGGCTGTTTCCAGTGTGACTTTAAACTCACAGAGATCCAGATGGATCTCTGCCTCCCGAGTGATAGGATTAAAGGCGTGTGTGCCACCATTTTCTGGCCTCTATATCTAGTGGCTTTTCTGTTCTCTGACCCCAGATAAGTTTATGAGGGTACACAATATTTTGGGGAACACAATACCACCACAAAGGTATAATAAACATCCTTGTCTAAGCTTCTCTGTGAATGTAAGATTTTTAACTACTTTGGTCATCTATTAGTGTGGTCATCGTTGCTGTTGATTGATATATCATGATATATTCATTTTATTTATAAATAATTCTTTTTTTTTAAATTAACAGGTGTGCCTTTGAGATTGCATAACAAGGTAGAATTATATAGAAATTTCTGTATTGTGGAATAACCTCTCCAGCAATGATAACTTCAGAGTTACCAGTGTTGCAGTAAGTATTATTATTTTATTTTCCTTTTAAAGAATTATGAGTATAACATCACAGGTTTGTGATGAGATATATCAAATGTGTTCTGTTATTGAGACAATATATTTGAAATCTAATGTGATTACTCTGACCATCCATGACATTGGAATGCCAGCATGTTTATTGACATTGAACAAAGCAGATATTAATGTTATTATATCTGGAGTCAGCCATTATAACCTTCATGTGGCATGCTATTTTAGCAATTAAATTGGATCAGAGCTGTACTTATTTCCTAGATACTGATTCCAGTTTATTTGTGGTATATGCTATGATAGTAACTGTATTGTTTGCAAAGCCCAAGATATTTGGTCTCACTATGTATGTATGTATGTATGTATGTATGTATGTATGTATGTATGTATGTATGTATGTGTTTATCTATCTATCTATCTATCTATCTATCTATCTATCTATCTATCTATCTATCTATCTATCTATCTATCTTTGCCTTTGTCCTATATTGTACTTTTTCTGTATACTTATTTTAATTAATTTCTTTCATTAAGATTCCTTCTTTTATATTAAGATTGTGATTGCTGAGGCTTTCTGGTTTATAGAAGAATCTCAGGAAATATCAGTTGTTGTGTGAGTGTGATACATCATTAGATTTGTATTCGTTGGATAGACTTGGAGTTTGAGATTATTATTCAATTTCTAGAAAATGTCACAGGCATACACAGATATTGTTTCTTTTATCATTTGCATCAAGATGTACATTGAGGATCCTTATGCTTTGATCTATTGGATAATGGTAATTTAGCTACAATAAAAGGATTATCAGCTTAAACAGTTATTTCTTTGATTATAGTTTAGTTACAAATGTCTTTTCCATGAGATAGTCTTCTGGTTGCTCTCGTGGAAGCTTTAAGACACAAAGCTTTTCATGTGCATTTTCTTGTTTGACAGATCAATAATACTTTATAAAATTTGTGAACTACAGAAGATAAAATTTAATTATTTTCTATGTACTTGCTCTATTCCTCTTTACTCCTTATTTTGGACATACTGGATTCTGAGGTCCCTGCATAGTCTTTTATTTCTTTGCTTTGTTCTTAAGAACTCTTGTTCTCACTCATCCTGCTTCCTATCTATTTATGTACAACATCTATGGATCTTTAAAATTAAGATAGATGTTCCCCTGTGCTCTTTAATTTTTCATTTTTTCCCTAGCATTGTATTTCACATAATGTTCCTTACCACTTCCTAAAATAAATAAGCTTTTCTATCATATTGTTGTATGCCTTGCTTGTAGCATATTTACTGGATATTAAACAGGCCCTCACATTAATACTTGATAAAATTTGAAACAGGCTTATTTGAATATATTTGTAGTTAAAGAGATTGTAGAATTAATATTTAGTGTTAGGGATTATACGTTGTTACTGAAAAATTCCACAAAATTGTAAATCTGTAATATGTTTATGGGCACTGCATCGTAATCTGAGAGCTGGGTGAATTAGCTTTGGTTGAACAAGCCAACTGGAGAGCATATTCTTTGTTGAGATTAATAAACCTTTTGAGAGTATATACTTGTCTGTGATCTTTGTGGTTTTATTTACTTTATTATTTTTGCTTAATCTACTCATATGTCCAGTTATGTATCCTATTGTGGTAACTTTGTATCAATGACAAAAATGCCTGAATCAATCAATTTAGAAGGATTTTTCCCCCATGTCCAATTTCAAAGATTTTACTTGGGATCAGTTGACCTCATTGCCTATGTGACCTTTATGCCTATGGTATCATAGTAAGGGGGTACAGGGTAAAGCATTCTGCTTACTTCATCATGGCTGGGAAACAGAAAGGGAAAGGGAATGCAGTCCCAGAATCCCCTTCATCGATATGCCTCTATTAGGCTTCACTTCTTAAAGGTCCCACTGTTTCTCGTTAGTGCCATAGGATGTTCACCACATCTTTAAGATATAAGATGTTGGAAGACACTCAAATCACAGAATTATTCTTCTGCCTCCACATGCCCAGACCCATCTTATAATGCAAAATGATTGTAATCCTGTTGTTGGAGGGCTTCTCTCTAGGTTCCCCAAGCCCCGCAGTCCCACAATCCACTTATAAAATAATCACTCAGACGCTTATATCACTTATAAACTGTATGGCCATGGCAGGCTTCTTGTTAACTGTTCTTTTATCTTAAATTAACCCATTTTTATAAATCTATACCTTGTCACGTGGCTGGTGGCTTCCCAGCGTCTTCACATGCTGCTTGTCCTGGCGGTGGCTGCAGTGTCTCTCCCCCCTTCTTTCTGTTTCCCCAATTCTCCTCTTAAATTTTTATTTGTGTAGTAATAGTGATTGAATAGTGAGAGAATAGGAAAGAGAGAATAGGCTACCATACAGACTAACTATACTGTATTCTTAACTTACTTATATACTGTAATTGCTGATGAATTTGTCTATTCTTAGTGTTGTTAATTATTAAGCAATGTCAAAGATTATCTGTTACTATATATTTATATTCTGTAATGGCCTAGCTCTGGATAGATATAGTATGTAGAACAGACTCATGCCTTGTTGTCATTACATTTATAGTATTAATGAACTAACCACAAATACATAGTTATTGAGGCTATGAAGGAAATGTTGGCTTTATTAGGAAAAATTTAACAATTTAGGGGTTAGGCAGTACTGGGAAGTGAACTTAGATCCTCACACATGCTAGATAAGCATTCTACTACTGAGCACCAGTCCTAGACTTGTTTAATAAATTTTCTAAGAAAAAGATAGTTGAACTGAGGTTTGAAGTGGAGGTGTGCTTGGTGGAAGAAGGGAGTTCTAGACTGAGGAAATGGGATTTTTAGAGACCCTTAGGTAGGAGGAAGCATGGTATATTGAGACATCTGATACAAAGCCTTTCTCCTCTAAATTTTGTTTTTATGTTTGAGAATTGAGGTACATGAAAGTAGGCTTGTGAGTAGAGAGAACTAGCAATCATAAGAGACCTCCAAGTTATGTTAAGAATTGTATCCCTCTTCTCCTCTAGCTGTGGGGGAACAACAGAGGTTTCAGGGTGAAGAGGACATAAGGTACACATAATTAAAAAATAACTGTGAATACAGTGTAGTAATTACAGGAATAGAAAGACCAACACTAGCAAGATGTGTTAGATGTGCCAGAGTCTAGTGGTACACTTGAAGATAGACAAGTCTTAAAAGTTACTACGTGTCTTTTAAGAAAAAGCCTACTAACCCCTAATTATTCTTCACAACAGTATTTATATTCGAAATATATCTGGCATATTTCAAGTACCAGATTGCCTTTGGAGATTTGGAAGTAGTGGTGAGCAGTGTGATGTGAGAATGTCACTAGCAGTGGTGTATAGACTTGTGTACACATGGGAATGTGTAGAAGAGCTTGCACAGGGGAGAGGATAGAGATTGGAGATGAAGTGAGGTGTTTCCCCCCCTTTTTAATGATCATGGTAGTAAAATGGAACAAATGTGAGACCACTATTTTTATTTTTCCTCCCCAACTCCCGCCAGATCCTTCCCCTTCCCCCCACATTCATGCTTTCTGGTAAGAGACTGTTATACTGAAAAATTCGTGTTTGTAGGAGGTACGATGGAGTAATAAAATTTTATGATTCTGAATAATAGGATAATCCTGAAGATACTAAATTTTATATTAATTTTAATGTGCACTAACTGAAAATAAGTTGACTAATATCTTTTCTGTAAACAAAGATCTAGAAGAAAGTCTCATTGGGCTTCATTTGAGTTGTGATATTTAGTGAATTTGAGGTGGCTTTTAAAGAAGTATTTTAAAGCACTTAGAGCATTGTAAAGAAGCATTTCACTCATGCAAGTTAATAATCTTGAATAAAAGATCTGGAATGTGGTCAAGTGTTCTGTTAAGGCATTAAAATTATTTATATAGAAGCTGCACATTATGTGTTAGATCTCCAAAGGAATGTAATGCAATAAAAATGGCAAAATAACACACATTAAGAATTGAACTTTAAGGAAGGAATCAATACAAAGAGGGAACCAAGACTAAGAAGACTATTAATGAAGCAAATTGAGAAGTTTCTGAGTTGGACTTACTATTGGGTGTTCATCCTTCTTGTTAAAGTGTTGTTGAGGTAGAATTTAGTGCTGTGTTGTTTAGTCAGAATCATAGCCTAGAATATATATGAATTCTGTAAGCCAATTTAGTACAATACAGCCAATTATAGAAAGTTAAATTATTTAAACTTAAAATGAAGTAAATCAGTGTCTGGGATGATGGCTTAGAGGTTAAATACAGGTATTCACAGACAAGAGTACTGTGGGGTGAACATACATGCATGTATAACACACACACACATACACACACATACACATATGTGTATATATATGCAGTAAAAAAAAGTACATGAGCTGGGCAGTGGTGGCGCAAGCCTTTAATCCCAGCACTCTGGAGGCAGAGGCAGGCAGATCTCTGTGAGTTCAAGGCCAGCCTGGGCTACAGAGCGAGTTCCAGGACAGGCTCCAAAGCTACACAGAGAAACCCTGTCTCGAAAAACAGAAACAAAAGTAAATGAAATAAATAACATTAAGATAAAATGTTCAAAATGCACTATTTTGCAATTTAAACATTTATTGTTGTTACGTTGAGGTTGTTATTTTTACCCTACGTATGTGGTATAAATGGATTTTCTTTTTTCCTATATTTGGAAATAGTTTTAATTGTGTGCTGTTTATCACTTTCTATTGATTGCATGTTGATGGTTTGAAATTGGTTATAGGGAGACTATACCTTGAAAACTAGCAAATGCTACATGTAATGATTTCATTTGTTAATTGTACATTTAAGAGAATGATAAATTGTTACTAATGTGGATTAAACTTAAGTTTCTTCGGGTAGTCAGTTTCAATAGCTTTCAAAGTTGTCAATACTCCTCCAGTATTGAAAACTATTATCGGACTCAGCAAAGAAGTCACTCAGAGCATTGACTACCAAGCAGAGTTCTTACAGGTGTCTTTTTCATTGCTCTAATCTTATTCATTAAAAAGAACACTAATAGAGTTTGACAAAAATAGCTATTTTGTGACCTTTAGTTGGCTGCATGGAATTAACAATGAAGAGGATTGTATTTTTAATTATTATTCATCATTTTTGTGCTATGGATCTTTCAGGGACTGCCCTCCCTCCCCGCAAGGGTTTCTCTATGTTGCTCTGGCTGTCCTGGAACTTGCTTTGTAGACCAGGAAGTCCTCAGACTCACAGAGATCCGCCTGTCTCTGCCTCCTGAGTGCTGGGATTAAAGGTGTGTGCTGCCACCACCACCCAGCTTCAGATGCTCTTTTTTTTTCTTTTTTAAACATAATTTTTATAGATTCTTTGGGAATTTTCTATCATGCCCCCCAATCTCACTCACCTCCCAGGCCCACCCTTTCTGTACCCTTGTAGTGCCCTCTGAAAGCAAAATTAAAAGCACAAACAAAAATATTAATTAAAACAAAACAACAACTAAAAAGCAAAACAAACAAAAATCCACTTCACTCCCCTGTCTTTGCCACCTCTCCATCACCTTTTCATTTGTCTTAGTGGCACTGGGCTGCTGTATATCATGCAGTGTACTCGTGTCCAAACAGCTTTATTTGCAAATGTTCATTGTGTAATGAGTTGTTGGTTAGGTTCCAGGCTTCTGGCTTCAGGTACACCATCAATACTGGACCCTCATCAAAACTCCTCTTGGATATCATGCTGTTGCCAGAATTCATGGATATCCCGTGGCTATGGTTTCACAGGAACAGTCCCTTCATGTGCTCATAGATGGGGTAGATTTGGGGGTGGACCAATTCAAAACCCTAAAAGTGTGCCTAGATGGTAGCTGAGTTGCTTAGTCAAGGTCACTGGGACCATCCTCCTCAGGCAAGGGGTGGAACCAGCTCTCCCATGTTGATGGTGAGGGGTGATGCTATTCTTTTAAAGAGCCAAATGATAAGCATTTACTAGTGTACTGCCCTCCATGATTTTATAAATTCCTCTCAAGCCATCCTTTAATCCTGAAGAATTAGTCTTGCACTCATATTTTATATTTTATAGAGCAGCTGTCATTTCCACATTAATTTATTCCTTTTTATTTTAGGGATAAATTTTATTCGTTGCTATGTGACAGTAGATAAGGGGTGTGTGTATTTTGGTTTACTGAAGTTTATGAAAATAGAAATATTAACTGCTGCTGTCAGTGATCCTAGGTAAGGGAAATAGTCGAACTAAACTGCATTGTATTTATTTTCTTAATTTGTTCACTACAATAATCTGGCATTTTCTAGGGATTCAACTAATGAAACTACTGCCCATTCTGATGCTGGCAGCGAACTTGAAGAAACAGAGGTCAAAGGAAAACGAAAAAGGGGTCGTCCTGGCCGGCCTCCAGTATGTATTATATTTGTCTTTGTGCTTCATTGCTTTCCCATAAATAAGCTTGGTAGGAGTTGTTTGTCAGTTCTAGTATTAATGCTGTTAATATTTTATGGTTTTTATTCCATTGATACAACAGAGATTCATGGGAACTTTGCTTTGGCTTAGTAGTGTCAAAGAAGGGAAATTTGTCGTACCTTTGTTGTCTATACTTGAAAGCACAAAGGAAATGTTGAATAAAGTTCACTTAAGACATACTGCTTTTCTAATTTAACTTTTTTTTTGTAGCTCCTAAATGTGAATTTTAATAATAATATTTTAAAGCTTGAGGCACGTTTTAATAAAGAGTCTTAATAATTCATGAGTTGACAGTTTAGAAGAGTTCAAAGTGACCTTACTTTGAGGGGTATCTTTATAAAATCTATGAGTTTCAGTTACTATTTAAGCATAATAAACTTTGAAAGATAGTAACAATATATCAAGATTTACTGTTCTCATTCATCTATGATCTGATTTGCTATTGTACTAATGTTTTTCTTCTTATGAAAGATCTCATGAAAAATCCTAGCTTTCTTTATAGAAGACATAAGTAGAATAAGCTTTCCTATGTTTTCATTACTGAGCTTCAAAAATTATCCAGTATGACTAGTCTTGTTTCATTTCTCCACCTATGATATTTTTTAAGGTCAATCTAGACATTATTCCTTCTGTAACCATTTCAGTTGGTGTGTCTTTGTATTTAAACCAACTGTCCTATCTTCTCATTTCACAATCAGCATAGAAAGCTTTTTTTTTTTTTATTATCAAAAGGTGTGATGAGGCTTTCTCCCCATCAAAAACAAGCCATCACTGGGTAGCATTAATTACCATCTAGGTGTTGTGTAAGGTGGTTTACTTTGTTGATGGTGTCTGATGTCAATGTTTAGTTCTCAGTCTCCAATATTTTTATCTCCCACTCCCCACCCCGCCTCCAATGTCCTTCTCAAGTCCTCCCTGTTTGTTTTCCCCATGCCTTTGACCAACTGCATGTATGAGATTCTCCCAACCTACCCTTTGGATTTGATAAATTTAGTTGAATACCTCACAGAGTTTAGGGAAACTATTTTAACAGTCTGTTATCAGTATTGCCGCTAAAGAGAGAAATAGATGGGGCAAAGTATGGGAGAAGGGTTAAAGACATTCAGTGCCAATTAATTTGTGTCATCCTCTAGGAACTTTATCCTATTCAGCTATATGGAATCCCTTTGAACCCTGTTCTTTTGGCATATTGTGGAAACACCCTCATAGTGTCTGTAAATCGAATGGGGAACTCAGCAAGACTTGTATGCATTAGCATTCTTCTTGTCCTTTCTTTGTATGGCATTCCTCTCTAGCGTCTGGAGCAAGAATGTTCTGTGTTAGGAGGATCTTAGGAGATTCTTTTGGGCAAGATGGGTAATACACTTTTTAAATTTTTCTTTATTTGCTAGGTCCAAGAGGGGAAAGTGAGGAAAAATAAGGGTTTTTGTGACTAGCCTTAGGAATCAACTTACAGCTTGTAATAAGTGAAAGCAAAAATATAAAATATCGTAATTACAAAAGCAAACACATAAGGAAATCTCCCTCACTTAGTATCATCACTCTTAAGATAATATTATCCTCAAGTTTTTTTACAGTTTATAATCATTTCATAGCTGGTATAAATTTTAGAAATACAGTGTGTTGGGTATACTCATAATGCAAATAGAATCCACCCATTATAATTTATGGTTATGATGTTTGTCTTAGTCAGTGTTCTATTGCTGTGAAGAGAGATCATGACCAAGGCAACTCGTATGAAAGAAAGCATTTAATTGGGGCTGGCTTGCAGTTTGGAAGTTTGGTCCATTATCATTATGGTGGGAAGTGTGGTGGCACATAGGCAGACATGGTGCTGGAAACATAGCTGAGAGTTCTACATCCTGATTTCCAGGCAGCCCGAGAAGATAGACCCCTGGGCCTTGCCTGGACCTTTGAAAACTCAAACTCTTCCTCCAGTGACAAACTTCTTCCAGTAAGGCCAGACCTACTCCAAACAAGGCTATACCTCTTAACCCTTCTCTAGTGCCATTCTGTGATGACTAAGCATTCCAATATATTGAGCCCATGAAGGCCATTCTTATTCAAAGCAGCACCACAGTGTTTAATCACTTGTATATGTTGGAATATAGGTAGGTCTTTCTTAGTGAGTTAGTGAACATGACTTTTTGAATGTAGTTGTTATATCTCTTTTACCAGAATTATTATTTTAGGGCCGACCTTATAACAAAACATGGGAGAAGGTGTCTTTCATTTGACTGTGGCCTTGCTTCCACTTGCTGTATACTTTGTAACTGTATGACCTTTATTTAAAGGGCAAAAATTGTGGAGAAAGACATGCACTGTAATCTTTCTAATTCTTGTTCATTTGAAGAAGTGTTCGTTCCTATAGCTTTCCTTATACAAACATTTTGAGAAGAGTGGAAGAACCTCGTAATTAGTGTGAGGTTGTTTCAGTTTCTCATGCATGCTACCCTGTGAATTTTTCGAGAATACAGGCAGGTTGCCTTGCTTCTCTGGGATTCATGGAAATTTGTTCTCCAATGAAAAAGTTTCAGATTAAAGACTGCTTGTGTCATTTTCCTTCAAGATAATTATTTTGCAGTATTAATTTAATTTTGATGTGTATACAGCTAAGCCTCTGCAATATGCTTTTTGTAATTTAAAAATTTTGTATATTTAGATGATTTATTCTTTTGTTGTGCCATATATGACTGGAGTTTTTATGGAACTGCTACTATACAATCTCATAGGTAAATAAGTCGGATTTATTCTCTGGTTATTTGAATGATACTATTTGAATTATATCAAAGATAACTTATTTTCAGGAATGATAAGACATTTTCTATCAGCCATCTCTGTTTTGAATGGTCTCAAATTTTGGTTGATACACTTTTAAAAAACTAGTTTATTCATTACATTTTCCATTATTTCTGGTGGTTTTTTGTTGTTTAATTTTTTAAAATTTGTATGTAGGTGTGTTTGCACGCACATGGGTGTGCTCTTTTATGTATGCATATAAGCATGTCTGTGGAGGTCAGAAGTCAAATTACAGTAGTCATTTCTCTCCTTCTACTGTCGGGGTTCCAGGAATGAAATTCAGAGGTCAGGCTTAAAAGAAAGGTTTGTTTGTTTGTTTGTTTGTTTGCTTTACCTGCTGAGACTTCTTGCCAGCCCATTTTATTTCTTTTTCAAAACATTAATTGGTATATAATAACCTTACATGTTTATGGGGAATATGACACTTTCTTTTTGTATGTCGGTGTGATTTGTGTACATTGTGTGAATGAACATGTTTATTTGTATGTTGGTGCTTGTTTGTACATGTGTATCTGTGTGGTACATGTGTGCCCGAAATTCACATCAAGAATCTTCCACCATATTCATTGAGGCCTAGTCTTTCACTTGAACCCAGAGCTTGTGTGTGTACGTGTGTACATGTGTGTACTACTCACCAAGTTAAGGAAAACCAAACACACACACACACACACACACACACACACACACACACACACACACAC